TTTAAAAAATCTTCTATCTTACCTTTGCATTATTCCAGAAACATCAGGGTCAGTGACAAAAGAAAAAGATGAATAAAAGAATAACAAAAGGAAAGGTACTCTTTTCTGTGATGTTGCAGTATTTCTGGGATATTTATGAAGCAAAATAGAATTAATCAATCTCTCTCTCTTCCTCTATCTCTATCTCTCTCTTCTTCTTTCCTTCTATAAAACACATTTAACATAACTTTTTCCACATTTCTAAGCTCCTTATCTGAACCAATGATACCAGTTCTAAGTCAGCACCAGGAACAGGGTGGCTGACATAGAAAGTTTGAATAATGAACAGATAATGGTCCAAGGAACAATAAAGTAATAATTAATAAATCATTCAGAGTCCAATACCCTATGAGTCCATAGACCGGTTTTCCTACACTAAAAATAATCTAAATAAAATATAGGATCCATTTCTATTGTTTCTTATACGGGTAATTAAAAAGCAGCATTTGGGCTGGATGCAGTGACCCACACCTGTAATCCTAAGTACTTTGGGAAGCCAAGGTGAGAGGATTGCTTTAGCCCATGAATTCAACACCTGTCTAGGCAGCGTAGCAAGATCTTGTGGTTAAAAAAAAAAATCAAAAAATTAGCCAGGCGTGGTGGCATGCACCTGTAGTACAGCTACTCAAAAGGCTGATGTAGAAGGATCATCTGAGCCCAGGAGGTCAAGGCTGTGGTGGGCTGTGATGCCACTGCACTCCTGAGCAACAGCGTAAGACCCCAACTCAAAAAAAAAAACAACCCAAAACAACAAATAAATATGTAAAAAGCAGCATCAATTTATATACTCACCAACTCATATAAAGTTATATCAACTCATAATGTCATATATTGAAAACAATTTAATGTAAAAATTACACAAACATGCTGCAGTGTAACAATATCATTGAAAAATGAAATTATAGATAATTCTAAAATAAAAGTAGTAAACATCATTATATGGTTTAGTTAAAGTATTGGCCCAGCTTGGTGGTGGCTCACTCCTGTAATCACAGCACCTTGGGAGGCCAAGACAGGAGGACTGCTTGAGCCCAGGAGCTCAAGACCAGTCTGGGTAACATAGTAAGACCTCATCTCTACAAAAAAAAAAAAAATCACAAAAATTAGGTGTGGTGGCATGTACCTGTAGTTTCAGCTACCTGAGAGGCTGAGGCTGAAGGATCGCCTGAGTCCAGGAGGTCAAGGCTGTGGTGAGCCATTATTGAAACACTGCACTCCAGCCTGGGCAACACAGTGAGACCCTGACTAAAAAAAAAAAAAAGTGTTGGGTGATTTGTATTTCAGTCACCTTGAAATACAGGGAAACATTTATAGAAAATTAAATTTAAAATACTATTGTAGCAAAAATGCTGAAATACAAAATGCTACAAAGTATGCTAAAATGGAAAAATTGCTCAAATATCATTAGTGCTAAAGGGAATTTTCACTACCAAACACACGTGTATGAAATTTAATCAATATTTATTGTTCTGGAAATAGAAAAAGGCCTGAGGCTTATTTTGGAAATTAATATATTTTTCCTCAGTGGACCCCTCTATTTCCACAGGTAGATGACAAAAATCAATCCTCACATAAATTCTTATATTCGTTTACTTGCTTTGGAGCTATAACCAGAGTTGTCAGTCAAGTGACTTTCCTCTTCCAAAATTGGATAACCTTCTAAAGGTTATAGTCTTTGGAAAGGTTATAGCCTCTCATGCAACTAAGAAGTTTTCCTGCTCACCAAGACTGTACTCTGATATCCATTTCCTCTCAGGGGTTACTTCTCAACTCCCAGGTGCTGATTTATCCCATTTGGACTAAATTCTTGTCCTCAAAGTATTTCTTTCTCTTTACAATGACTTTCTTGTTGCCTTTTTCCTCACAGGAAACAGAGGAGGAAGCAATGTTGGCATTAGCTACTATGTAATTTAGAATATCAATACCTTGAAAAATATCAGATCTCTAACTCTGCTCAGGATTCTATTCTTCTAACCAGTGAACCCCATTTTTACAATTCTGTTCACAAATGCTCCCAAGACATAGTTCTGCTGTTGAGGCACTGACAGTGACAAAAAAAAAAAAAAAAAATATGTGGGGAGTCCATGGAATTAGTCCAAAAGCTTTGAGCTTAAAACTTTGCTTTTTTTTTATCTCATTTTTTTCTTCTTCTTTATTTCAATAGCTTTAGGAGGTACAGGTAGTTTTTGGTCTGGGTTTTAAGTGTACGCACCATCGCCACTATGCACATTATATCTGATAGGTAATTTTGTGTCCCTCTTCCCCTCTCCCCTCCCTTCTGTGTCTCCAATGTCCATTATTCCGTTCTTTATGTCTTTGCAGATTCTTAGTTTAGCTCCCACTGATAAGTGAGAATATGTAGTGTTTGGTTTTCTGTTCCTGAGTTAGTTCACATAGGATGATGGCCTCCATTTCCATCCATGTTCCTGCAAAACACATTATTTCATTCTTTTTGATAGCTGAATGGTATTCCATTACTAGTTATCTACCCAAAGGAACAGAGATCATTTTATAAAAAAGATACCTTCACCTGCATGCTCATCACAGCACCGTTCACAATTGCAAAGATGTGGAATCAACCTAAATGCCCATCAACAGATCAGTGGATGACGAAAACGTCGTATCCACACACAGTGAAATACTATTCGGCTTTGCTTTTTCATATAGGGATTTAGACCTAATAAGGGATTCTGATAACTCATCATTTCTCCTGACAAGTAATCCAGTCTCTTTACTCCTGAAACAGAAGAAATGGAGCGCCCAGATAAACAAATTGATAGTCATTCCTTCTCTCAACTCATTCACAGATCGGTCTTCGTCAAGACAATTAAGATAGAGTAGCTATAAAGCAATCCGTGCTGGCTATTTGAAGTGCACAAAATCATTTCAATCCTTTCTACCTGCTTATTTCTTGTATATTTTCCATTTACACCCAACAAGCACAGTGCTAATTCAGGCTGCGTTGAGTCACTTCAGTACAACCCTCCACAGAAGCTCCCTTTCCACACTCCTAATTGCTCGGGCCCCCACTCTCCTTGCCTTGAGATTCTGGCGGGTGTTTTGAGTAAACATCGGGGAGGAGAGGTCCATGCACAAGTATTTGGGGACCAAGCAAAGCCCTCTGGTACAGACAGGAATCGTTCCTGAGTGATGGTGAGATGCTGAGTGTTGAAAAGTTAAAGCTAAGAGGGTCACATCCAGCTCCCAGGTAGTCTTCAGGAACTCCAACAGTGAATTTTGTGGGTAAGATGACCAAACTTCCTCATTTATCCAGGACATTCATCCATGCCGATTGACCCTATTGTCTTAGGGCAATTGGTGCCTTTTTTGCTCCTAAATGTGTTCCAGTTTGTGCAATAAATTATATGGTCACCCTATTTATCTACGGTAGAACTCTGCCAAATCTGCTGACTTTTCTGCAGCAGGCCTCCCCCTTCTTGGGCAGCGTTTCCTCTGTCAGCTCCCTGGACCCAGTTCTCCTGCCCGGCCTCCTCCCTTCCATCTCTCTTTGGGCCTGAGAACCTCAAGTCTGTGCATCTCCTGGAATTCTTTCCTTCTTCTCTCCCTCATCACCTGCAAAGCTTCCTTTCTTCGACTTTCCTTAAAGCCACCTTTCTGCCTTCCCTGCTTGTCTTCTTTCACAATAAACTTTATTATTGTGTCGGAGTCAAACTCCATCATCCAGGTTGCAGTGCAGTGGAGCTATTACAACTCACTGCAGCCTCGAACTCCTGGGCTCAGGCAAACCTTCCGCCTCAGGTTCCTAAGCAGCTGGGACTATAGGTGTGCATCATCACACTGGTTTTTGTTGTTGTTGTTGTTGTTTTTAAGAGACGAGGTCTTGCTATGTTGCCCAGCCTGGTCTCAAATTCCTGGGCTCAAGCAATCCCCCCACCTCAGCCTTCCAAAGTGCTGGGATTATAGGCTTGAACCACCGTGCCCGGACTCACAATACACTTTAGATAAAACAGTGCTGATATTCAACCTGTACAGGTGATTCGCACAGTTTGGACAGTCCTGGTGCCACTGGTCACTACATATTTTTAAAACACCCCTGATCCTGAGTCCACCAACCCAAGAGTTTTCCAGACTTACTAAACCAGTCTCTCACAGCAGGAAGGGGCCAGACATCTGTACTTCCCCAGGACTCCAAAAGTGATGCTCATACAGGGTGAGCAGAGTGGTCTGGTGTCTTATGTCCCAGGAAACTTGCACACCATCTCATCACATCAATTCTCACAGCCTTACAAAAAGACAACACAATGTAGCAGTTAGGAGCACAAGGTTCTGAAAATAGCCTAACAGGGTTAAATCTAGGCCTCAACACTTACTAAGTAATCTTTGAAAAGCTACTGAAGATGCGTCTTGAATTTTCCCCATAAAATATGTCTACCTATCCTCATACTTGTGGTAAATACTAAGCAAGTTGATACATGTAAAGCACCTCAAACAGTGCCTAGTACGGCCTAGTACGGCAATTACTTCCAAAATGTTAGCAATTATTATTACTTTATAGTTGAGGACAATTTCAGGTTGGTATGACTAGTGGTGGTATGAGACCCAAATCCATGTTTTCTGAATTGAAATTCCATGCACTTTCTGTGTTACTACTGCTACCAAGTGCTCTCCTACACATAATAAAGTACAATATAGCAGGGCGTGGTAGCACACGCCTGTTACCCCAGCACTTTAGGAGGCCTAGGTGAGAGGACTGCTTGAGCCCAGCAGTTCAAGACCAGCATGGGCAACACAGTGAAGCCTCATCTCTACAAAACATTAAAAAATTATCCAGGTGTGGTGGCATGTACCTATAGTCCCAGTTACTCTGGAGGCTGAGGTGGAAGGACTGCCTGAGTTCAGAAGGTTGAGTCTGCAGTGAGCCATGATCTTGCCACTGTACTCCAGCTTGGGGAAGAATGAGAACCCAACTCAAAAAAAAAAAAGGCAGTATAATAGGCTGATGAATTATATGAGAAGTACTTTATTGTATCAGGTGACAGCATGATAGCAATCATACTTATAGTAACCACACAATGGAGATTTGAATGGGGAAGATGACTCAAAAACAGCAGTACTCGAGTATTTTTTAAACTTTTTTCTCTCTAGTACTCAAGTATTAACCATTAAATGATAAAAGGAAAAAGCTTGACTGATTTAGTTTTTAAAAAAATTCTACCCAAGATCTACAGGTGTTTTAAAATGCAATTGTATGATTATAGTGCTTTCATGCTTTCTTGAAAGAACTACTGTTTTGCACTGAAAATAATCTAGATATATTTACATAATAGAACTGCACTTGAGCTTACAAATTCCCCAATGCAGTCTTTTTCTGTTCTCAGCATTGCTACAAATGCCTCATTCTATCATGCCGAGTTCCTCAGCATCTTCTACGTCATTTCCAGAAGAGCCTGGGAAGCAGTGATGCCTTTCTCCCCTCTGAAGCACACTGGGAAGCAGTGATGCCTTTCTCCCCTCTGAAGCACACTGACAACCCGTTATTTCTGTAATTCTTACCTTCTGCCTTCCTGCTTCTTTTGGCATAACAGAAAAAACATGCCACTCAGATTTGGAAAACCTAAATTCTGGTCCTGGCTAGACCATAACTACAGAATCTTAGGCCATATACGGTCCTAAGGCACCTGCTTTTCAATTGCAAAAATGAATTAATACTTGTTTAGTCCTTTGTAGTCCTTTATTATTTAACTTCATGATAGCCCTTAGGTTTAAGTGAGGCAACATTATACTCATTTGATAAAAGAAATTCAATCTGAAAGAGGTTACAGCCTATCCCAGACCCCACAGGCCATAATATAAGGCAGAGCTAACCTCACACCATCTTATTCAAGATCCTAACACTGGTACATGCTGAACTCCTACATGTGCTAAATGATTGAATCAGCCATTTCCCAGGTCCCTTCCAATGGTCACAATCTCTGCTGCTGCTTGCGATTTTTTCTCTTCTCAAACAGCATTAAAATTAGAAAATATTATTATTTATCATCAAATTTCATTTAGCACGGTTTTTCAACTGTTCTGTAAAATTTTCTTGCACTTCTATATTAAATTCAGAGAAGTTATTTTTTCAAATCATGCCCATGCTGCCTGCCTACTTGTCCAAGCAGGGATTGCTAATACTTTGCTTCACTATCCCATAGGAAGAACGATTAAACCACCTAAATTTTGACTGTTAAATGAGGGATTCAGGACATTTCCCAAGGAACTACAGGACCAATTAAAAGCTGATATCCTGTACTTAAAATAACACAATTCTTTTATTTATAATAAATTTACAGATGTGTTGATTAGTCATGCTGATATTATGAAATACGCCTAAATCGAATTTAAGTTTGAAAGAAAATAAAATATATTCTAAGAGCAATCCTGAAAAGTTAAGGACCTCAATAAATAATATGCTCTCAAAAGTAGGGAGCATTAAACACTCGGTAATTTATATAATTTAATATGCTAGAAATGAGGAAATATATAGCACATGATAACAGGAATACACATGGGAAAAGTAATTCTGTGATTTTCTTCATTTTGATTGTATAGCTTTCTTGTCTTCAGGAGGAAAAATTTTGACTTCAAAAATAACAAAATATCTAAGAAGGGAATTTACATCTTTCTGTTCTAAATGATATTCTTGTGCTATTTTCTCAGCAGTCCAAGTTTCTGGATGAAGTTTATAATTATTGAGAAGTGTCAATGCCTCTACGATGGAAATTTTGCCTTTGGGAATGTTCTTAATATTCATCATATTGAAATGATGGCCTTTCGGCAACCTGAACTCCTTCGGCTCTTGACATGTTTCAGCAGCTTTTACCTAGGACCAATAAGAAAAGAAGCTTTTATGATGAGAGAAAACATCTGATATCTGCTTTCACACTTCCCAAATCTACACTATTCCTCTTCAAATAAATACTGCACACGTCTCCCCAAACTACAGACTCTCATTCTAATGACCCACAGTTTGATGGCACTTTTGCATTTTCATAACTATAGCTCTATCATCAGGAACTTTAGGAATCTCTAGAAAATAATAATCAAATGCATATCATCCGCTCACCATATTATTTCATGTATATTAAAAGAAAAAAAAGAACTGACTAAAACTTCACTTGCTTTTTTTTTTTGAGTTGGAGTCTCACTCTGTCGCCTAGACTGGAGTGCAGTGGCCGCTCCCAGCCACCGCAGCCTCGACCTGCTGGGCTACAGCGATCCTTCCGCCTCAGCCTTCCGAGTAGCCGGAATTACAGGCGCACTACCACGCCCGGCTGATTTTTTTTTGATTTATTGTAGAGATGAGGTCTCTCTGCCCAGGCAGGTCTCAAACCCGTGGGTTCAGGCAATCCACTCACCTCAGCCTCCCAAAGGCGCGGGATATTACAGGCTGAGCCACCAAGCCCAGCTTCACTTGCTTTTGAAGGAAAGATTCTGAAAGCTGACTTGATAACATCCATTCTGTTTCCCAGTTTCATAATTTATATTCAGTGTCCCCAAACACCTTTAATGAATTCAAATACTGCTAGAGAGCTTGTCTCTCCTGAGAAAATAAAACATGTCCCAACACCCCCATTCCAAATAAGCAGCCTATGGATACCCAACCTTCCATCTGTCTGTCCCATCCTAACTCAATACCTCCACTTATGCTCTGCCTTCTCATTACCAGGCCTTGCCAATCATTGCTTTTTTTCTTTTCCTTTTAATTGCACCCTGCCTATTGCTGCTTTTTTGGTCAAAATATAGAAATGCTCTAGTCACTATGTTTGTAAAACACCCACACCTAAAACCTACACTTTCTTTATGACCAGTTTCCTTCTCTTCAGTGAAGTCTTAGAGGCAATGACCTCTAATGACTGCCTAGTTGCTTAATTCAGAGAATATTTTTCAGACCTTACCCGAACTCACTACATCTGACACTGCTGACCACTCCAACGTACCTGTAACTACGTTCCCCTTTAGTTTCCATGCCACCTCTCCCTGTTTCCCATCTGTTCCTTCAGTGATTCCTTCTGGCTTTCTCTGTGGACCTTTTCCCTTTTGCTGGCCCTTGTTAGTGTGCAACACCTGAGAGTACCCAGGCCCTCTTCTCACTCTAACATTCTCCCAAAGTCATCCCACACACTCCCCTAACTTCCATTGCTGCCTACAAATGAATAACTTCCAAAGCTGCTATCTCAAACCCTGATTTCCTGACCCAAATGCTTAACAGGCAATCTCCACTCAGATGACCTACAAGCACCTCAAATTTCATACATCCAAAATTGAACCTATCACCAGTTCTACTCACATGTTCTCAATCTCAATGACCAACACCAACCACTTCCCATATCCCATACCAAAAACGGAATTATACCTGAACCTCCCTCTCCCTCACTCATTACATCCAATTGATGACCAAATCCTATAGTAAAGAGAAGAAATGCCAGGTGCAGTGACTCAAGCCTATAATTCCAGCACTTTGGGAGGTGGAGGCAAGAGGATTGCTTTAGCCCAGGAATTCAAGGCTTATTATCTACAATAAATCAAAAAATTAGCCAGGTATGATGGCACATGCCTGTGGTTCCAGCTACTTGGAAGGCTGAGGCAGAAGGATCACCTGAACTCAGTAGGTCATAGCTGTGGTGACTATGAGCATGTGACTACACTCCAGCCTGGTGACAGAGTGAGACCCCGACTCAAAAAAAAAGTAGAAAAGAGTATTCTAGGGGCTGGAAAGGATAGGGGAGAAGAGGGGTGGAGAGGTATTTGTTAAAGAATACAAAATCATAGCTAGATGGAAGAAATAAGTTCTAGTGTTCTATACCACTGTAGGCTGACTATAATCAACAATAATGTATTATATAGTTTCAAATGGGTAGAAGGTTAGTGAATGTTCCAATCCAAAGAACTGATAAGTATTTGTTTTACTGCATCCTTAAGTCTTTCTCAAATACACTCACTGCTCCCTTCCATCTCTAAATCATCCTGGTTCAAGCGATGTCTCTTGCAAGAACTATGGCAAAAAACTCCTAGCTTGCTGGACCATTTCTGGTAACTCTAGATAATCATCTATACCATCTAAAGCGAAAACAGCTCTCCATATGTATATACTAATTCTACAAATATACTTTTAAATCTTATAAAGAAGACTGTACCGTATAGAAGGCTCCCAAATGTGACCTGAGTTTGAATTATATCCAATACCTAAGCCGAAACCGCAGTTCATGGGAAATAGGAACAATGAGTTTCTAGAGTGAGCCATGCCTGTCACAGTCACAGAGCCTTCAGCTTAGGTGGGCAGAGATCCTTTTGGCTAAAATGAAAAAGGGAGGAGGGAATGGGGTCAACAGCTCCTGAATGCATCCTAGTGGTCTCGGGGTCCACGGCCCACCTTGATCCCTAACGTTCAGGTGGGCCTCCGTGGCCAGCTCCCAACATCTCCCTTTTTTATTTTATTGGCATGAAACCATGAAACACAGTGTTGAGCTGAGAAATACTTCTCTTCAGCACTCTGCAAAGTTCCTTGTAATGGGATGCACTAAATACCAAAAAAGGGAAGAGGAAATGGGCCAACAGCTCCTGAACACATCCTAGTTGTCTCAGGGTGCACAGCCCACCTTGATCCCTAACGTTCAGGTGGGCCTCCAGGGTCGGCTCCCAACATCTCCCCCTTTTTTATTTTTTAGCACGAACCCATGGAACTCAGTGTTGAGCTGAGAAATGCTCTTATTCTCTATTCTGAAAATAACTGGAAGCAGGCATAGCAACACAAAAATCACTGCCCCACAAATTCCCACATTAATGAGTATAGATATCAATGATTTTTGATTAACAAATGATGAGAAGTTATTGAATATGGAACTAGTCAATTCAGAAACTGCTTTTCAGCAACAGTCATGTCCTGTATCTCTTGACGTAATTTAGTAAGGTCTATACTCAAGTCCGAATGATTCCAAATTCCAAGAATGTGATTCTGTATCTGTTCCTAGAAATGGCCCAGCATGATCTTTTGACTGGGCCACATTCTTTAGGAACTGGGTTGGGCTATAATTAAGAGTTTCTATAGTGCAGGTAGAATTAGCGTAAAATAGAAAGGAATTAGGATTTAAGTTAGTCATTAGGTGTTGTATATGCATAAGTTTTTAAAGTTATTGATCACTGGAATATTATGATGTCAGAAATTGTTGTATTGCTTTTGAGGAATATTAACCAAGCATGAGGAACAGTGAGATAATTTTGGGATTGCCCTTCCTCATGCTTGAGGAAACACCTGGTGGGTGG